AACGCGCCCAGGAGCCGCTGCTGAGTGAGAGGAGGGTCGGGGGGATGCGGTGGGATGGGAGGGTCCCTTCCCGGGGGAGCCCCAGCAGCGCTGGCCAGCCCTGGGCTGCCCTCGCCCCTCGGGGTATGGTCAGGGGTCCCCCCTTTCCGCAGACGTGCTGGCCAAAATCAAGGACATCGCCCAGAAAGCCAAGGTGGTGGGCGACCGCGTCCGCAAGCTCTTCCGCTCCATCATGGACTCCGTCAGCCACGTCGGTGAGCGGGCAGGGGGTCCCTGAGGGTCTCCCCGGCTCCAGCACCCCCCCATCCTGCTTTTGGTCCGTCCCTATCCCGTCGCCCGCTGCCCGTCCCCCAACGCCCGCTCCCTGCCCGCAGCCCGAGCCCTGCGCAACGTCTGGCTGTGGCTGGCGAACGTGAGCAGGGTGTGCAACCGGGAGATGGGCACGCCGTACCACCGCTGCATCCGCCTCTTCGACGAGGCCAAGGACAACTGCGAGCGCGTCATCCCCTTCCTCTTCTTCCTCTGCTACATCATCACGCTCTTCAAGCCCTTATGTGGTCTGGCCAACTGTACGTGGGTCCCTGCTCCTCCGCGGCGGGGCGGGGGGGTGGCGGGGTGCCCCCCTGCCCACCGCGGGGGCCCCACCCTGGCAGAGAGCCCCCCTCTCCGCAGTTGCCTTCCTCTTCTGCATCGTCCCCGAGTACATCCAGTCCTTCCTCAGGAGGAACGTCGCAGACCGTGAGTATCCCGGTGCTGCAGGAGGGTTGGGGGTCCCTCTCTGCCCCCCCTGCGCCGCGTCCCGGCTCTCGCCCAGCACCGCACGGCCCCTCATCCCCCCCGCAGCCCTCAAGGACACTCTGGACCGCGTCCGCCGGGAGTTCGAGTTCAACATCTCGGCCGTGCACCGCTTCGACATCAGCCTCAACGCCAGCAAGAGCCTGGGGGAGGTGGCCCTGGACATCATGGAGGGCGTGCGCCTGCGCCTGGAGCCCACCCGCCGGGTGCTGGGCCTCTTCATGCACATCTCCTTCTGCGCCATCCTCTACATGTACTTCCAGTGAGTGGGCTGGGGTCCCGCTCCGGCCCCCCGTGGGGACGGGGACCCACCGTGCCGCTGCCCAGCATCCCCGCTGTGTCCCCAGGGCACTACGGTACCATCACCGGTACCTGCGGGACGAGACCTTCGACAACGTTTACATCACACGGCGCTTCGTGGAGATGGACCTGCGGCGGGCGGAGCAGGGCAGACCCACCGTCCTGCCCCTGACGGCCTGGGAGAGCGGCCGCTACATCCCCCCAGGTCAGCCCCGCGCCCGGGAGCATCCCCGCCGCGGGGTCCCGGCACGGCACGGCCTCACCGCGCTCCCGTGCCTGCCCAGCCGTGCTGTGGTTGTCACGGCAGGGGCGGCGCCGGTATGGGCTGCAGTTGGTGGGGGTCCTGCGCCACGTGCTGCTGGGGGTCAGCATCATCCTGGCCGACTACAGCCTCTTCTGGCTGCTCGACCTGGTCCGCAACCAGCTGCGGGGGGAGATCGTCGCCAGGGGTGAGCAGCACCCACCGTGCCGGAGCAGCACCCTTGGGGACCGGGGCTTTGGGACAGCGGGTGCTCCGTTCCCCGGGACTGAGCCGCTCGCCCCGCAGCGCCGGAGGTGCTGGGCGTCACCGTCAACGGGACGGGTTACACCAGTAAGATCTTCCGCGACGTGGTCTCTGCCTTCGAAGCGCTGCAGCAGGGCAACGTCTCGGTGCTCTCCCAGCGCTGCCTCCTCCAGCCCGTGGAGCCCGACTACGGCACCTACCTCAACATGGGTGAGCTGCACCCTCGGCGTGCTCGGTGGGTGGCAGGGTGCCGGGGGGTCCCTGCGTGACTTGTCTTCTTCCCACCAAGGACTCCTGTACGGCATCTGCCTCTTCATCGCCGTCTTCGGCAGCCACGTGGCACGCCTGCGCCGGGCGGTGTGCGCCGCCTACTACCCGTGCCGCGAGCAGGTGAGAAGCCCCCGCCAACCACCACCACCTCCCTACACCCCCCTCGGCAGCCGCCTGCCCTCACCCCATCCCCGCCGTGCCAGGAGCGCACGTCCTTCCTCCACAGCACCATCCTGGCACGGCGGGCAGGGCTGGCACGTGCCCTGCGCCAAGCCGTCACACAGCGCACCGCCGACGCCGGGCAAGGCAACCTGCTCCTCTTCCTCACCGCCAGGTAAGCAGCCCCCGGGGGATGCATCCGTGGGGATGGAGCCATCCTGACCCCATAAGCACCTTGCTGGGCATTGCCAAAAAGCAATGCCGTCCCCCGGGGGTCCGCGGCAAGGGCAAAGCCCTTGCCG